GGGGCCGGGAGCGGGGCCGGGAGCGGCTCCCGCCGGCGCCGCCTGTCCGCGGCAGTGCCCGGGGTAAGCGGAGAGGGGAGCGAGGGAAGCTTGCGCTGACCCTGGAGCCCACCCGCCCGCCGTGAATAAATCCACGAGTAAAAATCTTGGGCTTTCAACGCCGCCCGCCAGGCAGCACTAATGGCGGTTTTGTAGCCCTGAGAAGGTAACTGGGATATTTTTTTTATTTTTTTTTTAGTGGACTTGTCCTCGAGGCTTGTGTGGGGAGGGAGGAGACAGGAAGGTTCTCGGGCACCTTTGAAAATCAGCGTTATAAAGGCACGATTTGCCTGACATTCAGGAGTTTCAAACACGGCTGAGTTTTTCACCTTGAAGTGTAATACACACCACTAAACGGGGCTTAAATAAAAGAGGGAGGGTGACTTCTTACACAGTGAAATAGTGATGGGACACGGAGGAAGAGTTTTACATTAGATATTAGGAAGAAATTCTTTACTGTAAGGGTGGTGAGGCAGTGGAACAAGTTGTCCAAAGAAGATGTGGATGCCCTATGCTTGGGAGTCTTCGTGGCCAGGTCAGATGACGCTTTGAGCAGCCTTGTTTAGTGGAAGGTGATCCAGCCCCTATGGTAGGGGAATTGGAACTAGATGCTCTTTAAGGTCACTTCCAATGCAAGCCACTCTGTGGTTCTGTGTTTTCATACTATGAACATCAGTTATGGAAGTATTAAAATGTTAGTCTGGGCCTTATGAATAGATTTACAACAGTGTAACGTAAGTTAGATGATTGCTGTCTTTATTTGCTACTAAATGATTGTAGTGCATCAGATGGAGCTTTACTGACATTTTTGTTTCCAAACGTGAATGTAGGAGACATATCAATGGCTTATTCTTATGCAATGGCACCCCTAAACCTGAGATTTAAGTGCAACTCAAAGGCCAAGAAAAAGTTGGCCAAGATACCTGGCTTGCTGAATTGTCTGAGAGTGAGGCAAAGAAAAAGAGGTGAAAGAGAAGTTGGGCAATTGCCATAAACTAGAAAGGGAGCACTAGTTTTGCATAAATATTTGCAGCAAAAGTCTGTAAGAGACACCTGCGAGAAAAGATTTTAATTCATGCCATTTTACTTTACATATTTATTCCTAATTAAACAAAGAAATTGTTTCAGCTTCTTAGTGAAAAGTTCCTCTGCAGGTGCTTGAAACAGATTCAGTTTCCAAGGAGCAAACTGATGATCTCTATTTCTGCCGGGAGCAAGCTGGTGCAAATCGTGATAGCAAATGGCAAATGTAGTGCCATTAACCAGAAGAGAGCTTCAGTTTGAACTTAGAGAGCAATCAAGTCACACCACTAAGCAAATGAAGGAGCTACAGGCCTTAGAAGAAACTAGTTCTTACGATGTGAGACTGGGCAAGTGCTTTGCCCAGGTTACAAAAGACACCTGTAATATCCGTCTTACTGGGTTTGCAGGCCATGAAAAGTTCAGAAAAAGCTCAGTTAGTAAAAGATTGAGAAAAACCATTGTAGTTCATTTGTCTAAATATCCCATTTTGAAAAAAAGTCAGAATAAGTGAATGTAAAGACTGGAGCTGGAGGAATTAGGTGTTTTCCTATCAAATAGCTTGTCCAGCCGAGCAGATCACAGCCTTTGAAAGGTACTGGGCTACCCAGATCTTGTAAAAGTCTGTGAGGTGCCCTTCTGAAAGAGGCCCAAGAAAAGCATGTCCAAGTACTATTGCTGATGTTTTTGTAGTAATGAAAAATTAAGGGAAACGCCCCAAATTCATGTTTTGGTCTTTAGGTGGAAAACGAAACAAAAATGAAAATGATCTGGGCACAAAAAACATGCTTATAAATTTGGGTAGAGCTGACAGTCACGAGTCATGACTTTTCAGATATGAAAAGTCATTCAGTTGTTGGAGAAATTGAAGGATATAAAATAGAAGCAGCAAATAAACTGCAAGAGCAACCCTAAAATTTTAGTTCTGGTCTGGCCAGCTAGAGAGCAGTAACAGAGGTTTGACTGTGAAGTGCACTGGCATGGTGACTCTAGTCGAGGAAAACTGTTAAATAGATATTGTAAAAATAAAATCCAAGGAGTAAACATGTAGGTAATAAATAGAAACTGCAAAATACCAGGTCTCTGAGAGCACCAATAGGCTTTAACTGCTCTAACCAGCCTCACATGGGGCCTCTGTCCACAACCCTGCCCATAGACCCAGAAGCGCCATTTCAGCTCCAGCTTAGGACTTCTGGTATGCCCCTAACTCCTAGAGAGACCTCAGACCTGGGTTATAGGTAGCTTGTGTTCTTTAGATATACTTTATTGCCTGTCTTCTGCTTTGTCTTTGTTTTCTAGGTTGATTTTGGACTTGTGTTGTAACCTAATTTCTTTCTCCTTTTGTTCCTGGCTGGAGAGCCTGTGTGATCTCTGGACCTAGTTCATCATTTTGCCTTCTCTGTGACTATTGGAGGGCCCTGTTACCAGACTACCAGTAAGTAGTGTGATCTGTGTGCTGCATTCAGATATGGGACTGTGCCTTGGTCAGCACAGGCACTGCCTGCACTGAGTCATCCTTGGCCTGTGGCTTTCCCTCCCTTAGGGGAGCAGCTGGCCCTTACTGCTTCCTGACACAAGGTAAATCCTTCCAACTCATTAAAATCAACTGGATTGTGGTTGATAATGTGCATTTATCCAAAAGTGAGATGACTGAGCAGGGGTATTTGACCTCTGAAATTTGACAAAGAAAGCTGGAAAGAAAAAATAAAAGGGTTGAAATAATAGTTGGCTTGGATTCCTATATGATAAATAACATTTAATAAGTTTCAGGGAAAACATCCTAAAATTTTATTCATCTAAGTTTCTCATGCAGGTGTGGGCTAGGTGAGGCAAATTGCAAGAAAGCAGTAAACTTTCACAGTTGTTTTTTTTAGTGAACTGTTTCCTGGCTCCAGGGATAGAAACCATAATGGCAACTAGATATAATGAGTAGGAACTCACTGAAGAGGAGGGATTTGTTGAGTCTTGTCTTGAAACTTTCTTAATGGGATGAAATTAGCAGAATTCCTTGAAACAGAAAGAACTCCCTGACAGTTTTGCCACATAACCCTCAAAACCAGCAAATACTCAACAAAGGGCAGGGTTGCTGCATAGCATGAAACTGTGGACCTGTTAGAAGTAGGACTAGAAAAAAAGCATAAAGGGGAATGAGAAACTCTTGTTCTAGAGCATTGCTAGAATTTTTTAAAGGAACAAAAAAGCCAAAATAGATGTAACGGATGGGAGTAGCATAAGCTGTTTTCTGAAGAACACTGAACCGCTTGGTAACCATCTGACCAAGTAACCCCTTCAGAGAAGAGAGAGTTATTGGAGGTTATTGAAAATCTATCAAGAAGCGTAAATGTTCACTATCCCTGATTACTCATTGCAGTTTGTTTAGCAAGAGCTGAAACAGGTAGGATAATAAAGAATACAGTGACATATGTCTCTGTATTTGTAGCATGGTATGATGATTGTGTTTCATAGTAGAAACATCCGGAACTGAAACATTAGTAATAATCTGTGATAAGGATATGGCAAAAAATCTGAAATTAAGCCCAAATAAACCGGAGCTACTTCAAAAAGAAGTTGTATTCTTTTGGTCTGTGGTCAAGGAGGAGGGAATTCCTGCTAGTGATGACAACATATACTATATAGGGATTACTAGTACTGTAAGAGTTCCCAGATGTGTGAAGTTTTACAGTTTTTAAAAATAGCTGCTTTTGTGCATGGAGGAGGAAATCCATTTGAATGTGACTTGACCCTGACATGGTTAAAAACAGCTGTGTTGGCCTCCTTGGGTTTCAAAACGGATTCTTGCATGCTTGAGCTTGGATGGTCTTGAAACAAACAAAAAGGCTTACAAGATCAATGGCTTATACAGAAAATCTGAGCTTCATAAAACCAGAAAAAAATGCGTCACTGAGTGTTGAGTAAGTCTAAGGAGTATTTTCACTTTTTAGGACTATAAGGAATCTCTATGACTTAAGACACTGTGTATTTGGCAGGTTGCTCAGAGAAGCTGTGGATCCCTCATCCCTGAAAGTGTTCAAGACCGGGTTGGATGGGACTATGGCAGGAGGGTTGGAACTCGGTAATCTTTACGGTCTCTTCCAACCCAAACCATTCTGTGAGATATGTTCTCTCCATCAGTTTTGGGAGGCAATCTCTTCAAATTACAGTCTGGGGCATGTGTTGTCTCTTTAGATCCCAAGTCAGATACAATACCTAAAGATTTCTGAGATTCATTGAGGCCATACAGTATTACCCACCTATGTAGCTATATGTACTAGAAATGCTCCTGAATGGATCAAAAGTGACTCTTGCCATTTAAGAGTAGAGTGAGTGAATTAGGTTTTCCAATTAAAGTTCACGCAAACACAGATATCCTGGGGATAAGCCTATAGTCACAGAATGGACAATTTCATGACCATAGGATAGAGCACTCCTAAGGAAAAATGGAAAATGTGTGTTGTTACCATTGAACTTACTACTTCACTAATGTAGTAATAAGATAGTTTTCTATAAAACTGAAGGATGATAAAGAAAGCCTAATCTCATATATAGCAGTCTTGGACTAGGACAAGAACTAGAGGGTACAGGGTTATTCAAGACTGTGTAGATGGTTGGCTCAGTCTGATGGAACTCTTGTATGACCATGATAAAAGGAATAAGCAGAAGAAAATGTGAAGTCTTAATACGTGTTCAAAATAATGATTTAGTGGAAATAGAAGAGAAATTAATAGGGAGTTTTGTCTGGGGAAACAGGAGTCATCATCATGGCTAGATTTGGGAAGGGCTTTACCCACATTTGTTACAAGTGCACTGGTGGCTAAAAAGGCCGATACGAGACAGGCACGTCTGGTTGCAAAAGGCACAGCAGAAAGACTCCACAGGTGGTATATTCTGCAAGGCACAATTCTTTCTGCGTTGTCTTTTCTCCTCGAGAGTCATCCAGCATGCTTTCTCAAAAGCATCAGCAGTGTTATAGATAGTGTGTCTTCAGACCTCCCAATTGGAGGCCAGAGTAGACCAATTATGTTGATCAATATGGCCAAGGCTGAGATGTTGTTTCAGGGAGTCCTTGTATCTTGTCTTCGGGGCTCCTCTCATGTGGCAGCTGGTGGCAAGTTCACCATAAAGCAAGATCTTAAGGAGATGGTAGTCCTTCATCCTGGAGACATGCCCTACCCAGTGCAGCTGTGTTCTCAGCAACATGGCCTCAATACTTGTGACTGCTGCTTGTTCTAGAACAAACGTGTTAGTCACATAATCTGACCAGTGGATGTTTAGGATTGTACGGAGACAGCGTTGATGGAAGCGTTCTAGGAGTCGCAGGTGGTGGCGGTAGATGACCCATGATTCAGATCCCTATAAGAGAGTAGACAGCACAATGGCTCTGTAAACACTGATCTTTGTACTTCTCTTCAAGTGTTTATTTTGCCAAACTCTTTTATGGAGTTTTCCGAAGGCACTATATGCCTTTGCTAACCTGTTGTCTATCTCTCCGTCAATCTTACCATCCGAGGAGATGAGGCTACCTAGGTAATTAAACTGCTGGACTGATTTGAGCTCTGATTGGCCAATGGTGATATGGGGATGATGGAAGACTTCCTGAGGTGCCAGTTGATAGAGAACTTCTGTCTTCTTTAAACTGACTTCCAGCCCAAAGAGCTCAGCAGTGTCTGCGAAGCAGGATGTGAAACGCTGCAGAGCTACTTCTGTGTGGGCAACAAGAGTGGCATCATCAGCATAAAGCAGCTCCTGGACAAGATGGCTTAAGGTTTTAGTATGGGCCTTCAGTTGCCTTAGGTTGAAAAGATACTGTCCTGGTCATTGAGGTCTGCTGTGGCCCTTTGGAGCATCATGTTGAAAAAGACTGTGAATAGGGTTGGACCGAGAACGCAGCACTGTTTCACACCATTAGTTATTAGAAAGGGCTCAGAAAGTGTGTTGCCATATCTGAGTTGGCCATGCTGATCCTCATGGAGTGAGATGATCATTTTGAGGAACTTGAGGGGACAACCTAAGTGTTCCAAAATCTGCCATAGACCTTTTCTACTCACAGTATCAAAAACCTTGGTGAGGTCGACAAAGGTTACATAGAGACCTTTGCTCTGTTGCCTACACTTCTCTTGCAGTTGTCTGAGAACAAATACCATGTCTGTGGTACTCCTGTTGGCTCTGAAACCGCACTGACTTTCAGGTAGAATTCCTTCTGCTATAGTGGGTATTAGTCTGTTCAAGAGTATTCTTGTCAGGATTTTGCCAGCAATGGAGAGCAGAGTGATACCATGGTAATTTGAACAGTCTGATTTAATTCCTTTCTTCTTATATAAGGTGATGATGACTGCATCACAAAGGTCTGATGGTAGTTCGCCTAGTTCCCAACAGCACACCACAAACTCGTGAAATTTAGCATGGAGTGCAAGGCCCCCATGTTTCCAGACTTTGGGTGGAATTCCATCAACCCCAGCTGCCTTGCCGATTTTCACCTGCTGTACGGCCTTAAGGGTTTCTCCTAAAGTGGGGGCAGTATCCAATTCATACTTTACCGGTTGTTGTGTGATGGACTGAATAGCTGAGTCTTGGACTACACGGCTAGTGCTGAAAAGAGTCTGAAAGTGTTCAGACCATCGATTCAGAATGGAGGCTTTATCTGTCAGAAGCGTTTGACCATCAGTGCTGAGTAGAGGACTTTGGGCTTGGTATGTAGGCCCATATGCTGTTTTCAGGGCTTTGTAGAATCCTCTGTGATCACCCGTATCTGTGCGTAATTGAGTTTTTTCAGATAGACTGATCCACCATTTGTTCTGGATGTCACGGAGTTTCTGTTGGAACTTGCTGCATGCAAGGTGAAAGGCTTTTTTTTTTTGCGTAACAGGATGGCAGTGCAAGGTGTGCTTGGTGGGCAGTTCTCTTCTTCCTCAACAATTCCTGGATTTCTTGATTGTTTTCATCGAACCAGTCCTTGTTCTTCTTGAGGGAGAACCCTACGGTTTCTTCAGAGGACTGCAGGATGCTATTTTTAATATGGTGCCAAAGTGTTTTAGGAGAAGTATCTGTAGAATCCATGGAATGGTTTTCGAGCCTAGTTTGAAGATTAGCCTGGAATTCGTTTCTCACTGTGGCTGATTGGAGATTGTTAACTTGGAGTCTCCTCCTTGGGATACTGCCCCTTTTAGGTTTGAATTTAAGATTGAGTTTAAGTTTACAGCGCACCAGTTGATGGCCTGTTTGGCATTCTGCACACGGGTGTGGTGGACATTGTGGACATCTCTCCGTCGCACCAAGACATAATCGATGAGGTGCCAATGCTTGGATCTGGGATGCATCCAGGTTGTCTTCAGACTATTTTTCTGCTGAAAGATAGTATTAGTGATGGTGAGCTGTTGCTCTGCACAGAATTCTAGCAGAAGTCGACCATTATCGTTGCAGTTTCCAACACCATGCTTG